TTTGAAGGGTCTACGGGCTTTGTTGGTGTTCGACTCTCACACTCGCACAAGGCAGGCAAGGCTCCACACAAGGCCTTGGGGTTTTTTGGGGTTTAGAGCTTCTGGTTTATTCTGACCCAGGTTCACGCTGCGGTCGACTAGGATGTCGGCGAACTGCCACAGAGAGATGCCTCATGCTGACAGCTCGAGCTCCCCCACACCCCTGAAACGCTGCAGAATACGTCACGAAACTGCACTAAAGGAATCAGAAGCGGCAGGCATCACTGCAAGCCAACACGAGCGTTGCCCTCAAGGTCACCTCTCAAGCCTCAACCGGCAACCCACGCTCTCATTGCCTGCGATGTGAGGGTTCGTGGTGACAGAAGAGAGATGGGCGCCAAGGACCAAAGCCTGACAAAGGACCAGAAAGGATCGAATGGGTTTGTCTAGATGACGACTGAGAGGCTTCTAGTGTAGAACTCTTCAACTCTGCTTTGTGGGAGTCAGGGCTTTGGGCCTAGTACAGAGGGGCAGCTGCCTAGCTGGTCTCGGAGTGCTCTGCAGGGTTGTTCGGTGAGAAAGACGACGGTTCCCAATCACGGACATTACCACAGCCCTGTAGCAGCTCCTACAAAAACCAGACACCGCAATAAAGTCGTAACAAAGCCAGCAAAACAAACCTTGAAAAACCCATTGTGAACCCCCCCCCCCATTTAAAAACCTGTAAACCAAGTATTCTCGTCAAAGCTGACAACTCTCCCGACCTGCCGAGAAAGCATCCAAGCTCCCTTACACTCCACCCTATAACAGGCCTAAGGCCCTAAACCCCCAAACCCAAACCCCTCACAAAGCCTCAAAACCCCACCCCCACAAGGCCTGGTACTCCTCCGTCCACTTCTGCACCACGGGGCCCCGAAATCCGAAGACGCCGCCGGCCCCTGCTTCCTTGGCTCAAGGGGGGGCTCCAGGCCCAAAGGATCCAAGTCTTAGGGATTCCGGGTCTCAAGCCTCAGGATCCTCTCGCTTAAAAGAGAGAGGGGCGTATGCAAGCTTCAGCCTTGGACTTTCACTGTTGTGGTGGACTCAGGGAGTGCGAGGACGTGCATTGCTCACTCCCGGGCGCGACTTGAGCTTCCGGCTTGCCCGGTTGGAATGAGCGTTGGGCGGCAAGTGAAATTGGCAGGGCTTTGGAGCATGAAGCGGCTTCAACATACATCTTTACATATTATTCCCTGCGCATGGGACCCTGCAATAAATGGCCCGCTTTCGGAGACCTGATGCAGCTATGGCCTTAGCTTTCCCGCAACTGCCGAGAAGCAGTGACAAGCATGGGCTTCTCGCCCGCCTGAGTGGGTCCAGGCACCAGAGCTTTGGGGAGTTGCGGCTTAGGGGTTCTGGGGTCTAGGAGTTGTGGGCTCAGCGTCCAGGATGCTTCTGCTTTGGAGAGGCTTCATGGCTGCATCGGGCAGGCCGAGAGCTTCGTAGGCATTGAAGTGGCTCTCGGCTTGGCATTCAGATCACTTGGCTTCATAAGAACAGCCTCTTGTTGTGCCCAGCGCACGAGACCGTAGAGCCATGAACCTGGAACCCTGCATCCTGCAAGAACTCTGACTGTAACAGCCAATCCGAATTTCCTGGAGCTCTGAGGCCGTAGCCAAGAACCCCTTCTGAACACTCCCTACAAGAGAAGAACTGCAAACATCTTTCTGGGAGGGCCTGCAGCGCCCAGAGCCTTACCTGCTCCCAGATGCTCGGGATCTCGTCGACCTCCTGGCGGTGTGGGGCTTTGATGCTCTTTGCTTGGACGGTTCGTAATGCTGGTAGGTGCCGCGCAGCTGACTCTTGAGCAATCTCCCCATAATGTCCCCATACAAAACAGCCGACAGCTTTGTTGTACGCCTTTGTGCAGCCAGTATAACGGTCAAGAATCCCATAATTGCTTCAACCGTGAACGCCTCACTAGAATCAAAAGGCCAGCAAACCTGCTTGTCGACTGGCCGCGTTGTCGGGTACCACGCCAGATACCTCAGCTCGAGAAACCGTGAAAAAACAGACACGATTCTGATAATGTGATGATGTTGGCGATGGTGGTGGGGGGAGGGTGTGATCATGGTGAGCGGGAGCAGGAGGAAAAGGAGGAGGAGGACCTCATCCATGAGGTCGAAGTACCCACCGCTGCAAGTGTCAAAGGGAAGTGCACGAGGCAAATCAAGTCCAAAAGTTCAAAGCCTTTCTCACCTTTGACTAACTGCACGTTGAAGTGCTTAACGTGCATTTCCGACTCCGTACATCTCTCATGCCTTTACACGTTCGCAAGCCATATAATCCAGCTCATGGCACAAGTGGAATGCGTAGACATCCACAGATCCCAGCTGCTGGTCCTGGTCCCCACGGTGGTTCGAGGCTTCACATGTCGAAGCTCAAAACCCCAGATGAGGATTCAAGCCGAACTGGCTGAGACTTCTGGGGCTCGGGACACCACTGTCGACCTCCGCTCCCGTTTGCCAGAGTCTAACTCCCCAAGCCCTCTTCAAAGAGACCAAGTCCTTACCTGCAAGGATTCAACACCTGATCCTTCTCTCCGAAGTGCGCCCTGTCCTTAAAACTGCACCTTAAGCAAGTCCCCTTTGCCAAAGCCTCCCCGGCATGGTTGGACCCGTAGCTGATCAAGCGACTCTGGCCGCCGTGCCTGAGACACCGAAAATAGGGGGTCGACTACGCTCCTGGAGGGTTAGGGGTGAGAGTTTTTTTTGCCTCCGGGTGAGAGTTTTAGGGTTCAGGGTTTTCGGGTTTAGGATTTTAGAGTTTAGGAGCCCCCTAAACCCTAAGCCCCAAAACCCTGAAAGTCTACAGTCTGCACTGCTGTCCAAACTCTTCACACTCAGCCCGAACCAACCCCATGCGGTTATTCCAAAAACCCAGCACCGCAACGAATCTACAGCTCCCAAACCTCAGATGCAAATTGAGCTGCATGCGAGCCCTCTAAACGACCCAGCTTAAACTCCCCTGATGAATAGACCCTCCTCGGAAAAAACAAGACTTGCAACAAGCATCCTGAGATCAAGGCCCTGAAAGACGGGGAAGTCTCCACCGGGAGTCTGACATGACAATCACAGAGCCCGGCCTGCGCAGCTGCGCTGCCATGGACTCGTAGGCCCAAGTCGTCGCCTCCCCTTCGTCGAAGGACTCCTGGAACCCCGAACCCAGTGGTAGGGGTTTAGGGTTTAGAGTTCCGCAAATATGGGGCTTTGAGATCTTGCATAGGGTGCTGAGGGATACTATAACTATAGCATACCCACATAACCGACCGTGGGATAAGGATAGTTTAACTGATTGTTAAGTCCTCTCTGTTGCGCACTTCTTTTTGAGTCATCATACCACTCTGATTCTGTGGTGACAGTGATTGCAACAATGGTCCTTGCTCCCTATGGCTCCCATCAAATACTGCATGACCGAACAAGCCTTGAAGTAGGATTTGGTCCAAGAGTCACCCTCGTTGAAGAACCCGTAGAAAATCACCTCGGCCAGCTTTCCCCTCATGAGACTTGGATGATGCAGTAAAGGTAGAAAAGCAATGCGATAGCTAATCATTTCAGAACATGTCATATCGGACGCTCAACGCTTTGAATCTTTATGCGTCTGCAGGGAGCCATGCAGCTCGAACGTCACGACACATGTAATCATGTAAGCATGGCAGCTTCGCCCGGCAACTCGTGCTTATCTCGCTAACCTTCAACCACGACATGAAGAAAGCTTTCCGCTAAGCCCTGAACCCCAAGCCCCTAAACTTTCTCTCAATCGTCTTCAATATGGGCTCCCAGTCGAAGCATCTGTGCCATGAAACTTCAGCTCAGCAGCAGACGGATGGTTCGCCGACGCCCGGGCCATCTCTTCGGCCATGCCTGAAAACACCAAGAAACCGGAAGCTCGGAAACAGCGGGCCTTAAATAATCAGCATAGGGCTAGGACTATAGTACACATAAAAGCAAACAAAGACAAAAAAAATCGATGTGTCTGTGTGTGTGTATGTGTGTATGTATATATATATATATATATTATATTATATTATATTATATTATATGCATAAATATGGAAGGCAAGAGAGTTTCATGATTCCTAAACCCGCAAACCCTGAATTCAAACTCTCAGACAACTCCAAGTCAACACTTGCTCGGAGACTCAGTCCTCGAACCCCCCAATCACAAGAATTCCCCCAAAGTGCGGTATCCCCAATACTGAGAAGACTTGGGCGTGACTGCACCTTTAACTTTATTATAGTAGCTGTTGGGACGGGGAAACAGAATCCTGAATGCCATCAGGCTTATAGACACCCCCGCTTAGCTGCTGCTGAGCCTAGATACCGACCCACGCGCTGAATAAACCTTCCGCGCCGGCTCACATTATGCCTCAATGATGCGCAAGATCAGGCCGCTATTACTGTAACTTGTGCGTGTGGGCTCTGAGGTCTATGCCACATATCGATTATTATTAGAGCTATTACGTTACTATAGTTACTATGGCTTCGCTAGATTTTGCAAGATGACGACTCCAGACTCGCTTCAGCACTCACACTGCGAGATGCCAGGGCTGGACCTGACACCTCAACCCTAAGGCCACCAAAACCCCTTTCCTGTGACATGGAAGGCCTCAACCGAATCATAAACACCGAAAAACTTTAACACGCAAAACAACAAACCGTCTCGCGGAGTCTCGCCGCGTGACGGAGGCTCTGGGCCATGAAGGTGGGATTCGAAAAGTCCGACACAGTGTTCTGCCATCCCAAGACTTCCTCCACGGCTTTCAGAAGATTTTGGGCTTTACTACTAAAACTGAAGGCCGGAGGACGTTGGGCATCTACTGGGCTTCTCGCGTACAGGGATGGTTGCTAGGGCTTAAGATTGCTGGGCTTGGGCTTGGGCTGCAGGATTTAGGTGCGTCGCGCTTTGGTTCGTGAGGCTTTCAGGGTTTACTGGGTGGAGTATGCAGTTAGGCAATAAAACGGGGTTCTGGTGGCGGAGCCGCTAAGGGAGCTGCAGGAAACATCTCCTCAAGACATCTGCGGCCTCCCAGACAAGCAAGCCCTGCTCGTCGCAAAGGTCCAAGAAACGCTGGTCCTCTGCCCCAGGGAAGAACGGAAACCAGTGCTGACACGTGAAAAGAGCAATGAAACGGATGACAATGAAAGGGCCAAGAACTGCAAGGAGGAACAAGCCGGCCACCCGTGCAAAGGTGTTTGCAAAATCCTGGCTCTTCCATGGCTTGGCGGGTGAGGCTGGATAACGCTACGCCGCTACGGCACACCCCAAGTCCGAAACCGCGAAGCTCCTGCGGATAGTGCGCCCCTCGGATGAAGTTGGCCCCAAGGTCTTTCCTGGGCTGCAGAAGGCCCGGTCCAGCATCAAAGCAGGATAATGAGCAACAGAAGTTTGTTTGTGGCCCAAGACTTGGCCATTAGCTTCCAGGGCTTTGGATTTGGATTTCAGGGTTTGGCATCCAAGGTTTAGGTCTCAGAGCTTCCGAAGGATCCAGGCAATCGGGCCCCAGGTCTTGCAATATGGCCGCGGCACAGCAGCAAGACGTCTGTCAGCAGCTGGTCGTATGTGACCACCTGGCTCGGCTTCTTTGGGAAGCTTCACCCTCCAAAGCCTCAAGGCCCTTATGATGATGAGTGTGATGATTGGGGGGTGGGTTAACTGTAGGCCGAGTCAGCTTTCGGGGAAAGCCTAAATCCTAATCGGGAGAAAGAACAATGATTAATAATGCCTCGGGCTGTTGCCACTTCTGCAATGATGAGCTGAAATGCCCTTAGATGCCCAGGGGCCACTGAACCCTGCGACGGCCGAGGAAGGCCTCAAGTGCCCGAAACCAGGCCGGAGATGCCGGGCTGTCGACCATGTCATGGCGGTTGAAGCCCAGAAGCTTCAGGGGCGAACCGTTGAGAAGGAGCTGGTCCCCGCCTGAGTCGCTTTCAGAGACTGCCGAGGATTTGGGGTTGGATGCAGGATTCAGGATCTGGGATTTGGAACTTGAGCTTAAGTCAGGGACGAGCCGAGGGCTCACCGAGGTGAAGCTGCTGATTCTTTCCGAGACGCGCGTGTTCCAGCATAGGCGCAATCCGGGTTTGGAAGTGTGGCGCGGTGAGGCTTGGGGTTGTGAAGTTGTAGTTTAAAGAAGCCCTTGAAGCGTTGACGAGACTTGGAGAAACATCACAACTGTAAACTATAGCAATGGTTGCAACAGGTTCGCAGCAAGTACTACGAACAGCAGTGGCAAACGTCTCCAGAGGAAGAGGGTAACGGACTGTCCGTACTAGTTGTTGTCATCAGTAGCAACAGGGAATGTCCCAATGCTAACCGGGATACTAGAAACAACAAGAAGAACACACCAGCAACAGCAGCACTAAGCTACCATACTCTCATAGCAGTCACTTCCTGCCAAAGCAATTGTAACCAGCGTCACTACTGGAACACAAACTCATATGTCGAAGCCCTCAAGATGCCACATCAATCAATGAATCAACCACCTCGAACAGAGGTTGTAAACCCTGAACACTGAGACTACGAACCCGGAAGCCCCACCCCGAACGAGGTTTGTACAGCCTAAAGCCTGCTCTGTGACTCCGCAGACCAAGCTTCGTGTCCCCACGGTCCGAAGTCCGAAGCGAGCACAGTAGCAGTCCTCGACAGGTTTTTGGGGAGTGCCGGAGTTTGGAGTGCGGGATTCTGGGCTCCCCCCTCCAGCTCGCAACCCTCCCAACAAACTGTCAGAGAGCTGAGGTTCCAGCCAGCATCTCTTCTTCCCGGAACAAGGCCACAGAAAGGCGGTGCAAGGAGGGCGTGGTTGTGTGCCACACACTGGCCTGACACATGGCCGCTTAGGGTCTGTAGTTTAGCGGTGCATCGTGCACGGTGGAGATCATCAGGTTGAGCTATAGACAGATATGCACAGACCTGAGACCTTGAACTAGGACGAGGATCCTAGAACAGCGGGGGCTTGGTCGCATGGGTTCCGATTTTCGGCTGCAGGGCCTCCGGGACCCGAAGCCGCATCGTCGCGCCGGCAAGCAGCTCCCAGCTGGCCGCCTGATTGGAAATGGTTAGCTGTACCTTTCGGAGAACTCCCGAACACAAAAGTTGACAAGGGCCCAAGCCCTGCAAAAGCCCCAAAGCGCTGCTAAAGCTTCAAGCCCTCGAAACCACCCCAAACCCAAGGCCCAAAACCCTCATTCCCTAGACCCATCCCAAAATTGACCCTCAAACACACTGCTAGCCCTCAGAGACCCCCAAAAGCGCCCACCTCTAAAAACATGGCATGACCGGACACCTCCTTGCAGCGGCTGTCGTCATCGAAGCGGAAGCGGAAGACAAGGTCTGTCTTCTTGGCTGCAGCCGGAGACGCCTCCGGCAGAGGGCTTCTAGATTTCAAAAGTTCAGGCTGCCGGCGCTCCGCAGGATTTTTGGCTCCCGCTTGGCTTCTCCGCAGGATTGAAGGCTTAGGTTTGGGAGTGCAAGGTGGTTTAATCTCTTTCCGGTTCAACTGCCAAGCAAGCATCAGGCCTTGCCAAGCACTCAACAAAAGCAGTTGCGCGAAGGACGCTCACTGTCTGGAGGGATAACAGGCTGGACCTTAATTAACGGCTCGAGTGAATCCGGGCACGGTCAGACCAGAAAGCCCCAAAATTCTTTTGCTGATAAACAACGCCACCTGCAGCTCGACATCCACCTCTGCCTGCGAGCGTGGCCAAATGCCTGGGCCGATCCACTCCTCTCCATACATCTGACTCTAAACTGCTCGGCCGTTCTGCAAGCCCGACTAGACAGAGAAGGTCACGCCCAGTCTTGTGGGATCATACCTCACTCTACGCTCAAGCTACCCTCAGAAGGCCTATAATATGTCGGAGCCCAAAGCCCGTAACCTTCCTGCCCTCAACGACCTGCTTGCCTGCCTAGTATCCTTTGGGAACTACGGGTCAACCTTTGGGATTTATATTGGGATGACAGTACCCCAGAAAAACTTACAGGTGGCCTACCCTACTACTCAGAACCCTTTTGGCAGCCCTCTTGTTCTCCCCCAAAACGGTTACAGTAAAGGTGCCCTAAACCCTAAACCCTAAACAGTTACAGTACAGTAAAGGCTGCTCAACTCGACTACTACGTCTATGAACCAGCTCTCGAGGCCGAGGAGCCCACGGAAGCAATGTACAGCGGATCTGGCCCTGCTTGTCAAGGCGGATGTTTAAAAATGGAAATATATATCCAAAAAGGTGTTTTTTCGAGTTTTAACCTAAAGCCCTCATCCCTTGCACCCTCAAAACCTAAACATCTAATCCCTGATTAAGGTCTGAGAGGGTCTTAAGATTCTGAAGTCACAGCATCAGTCGGGGAAAGAAGACAGACAAAGTTCTCATCAACGATGTCAGTCCTGTTGAG